GCAATAATAGCCCAATAGTCAAGACTTTTTTTTTTAAGTCAAGGGCACTTGCCCACTATTTGTGAGTCCCTGGATCCAATCTCTGGTGCTGAAAAAACAAATAAACCAAAACAAAACCCTGCTAAACTGAAGAAAATACTGGAAAAGAATATTATTGTACATTGAGTTAAATAACCTGGAATAGAAAAATTAAAAAGGGGAGGGGCAAAGGATCAAAGAGCAAGAGAATGATGAAGAGGATGAAGGTTGCCTTGGTTCCAGGAGAATTTTCTCCTTGTCTACAGAGCATCTCTCCCATCCCAAACACAGCACACTATTTTCCCCTGCCCAGTGTTTTGAGATTGAGTCTCCTGCTTGTAGTCCAGGATGGTCTGTAACTTCGTACATATGTCGAGCTGGCCTGAGTTCAGGTGCCTGAGTACTCAAATTATAGGCATGAACCCCTATGCCTGGAAATACAATCCACTCTTCTCCCTCCCTCCCTCCCTCCCTTCCTTCCTTCCTTTCTTCCTTCCTTCCTTCTTCTCTTTCTTTCTTCGTCTCTCTTTCTCTATCTCTTTCTTCCCCTCTTTCTCTCTTTCTTTCTTCCTCCCGCCCCTCTCTCTATATATCTGTCTCTCTCTCTCTTTCTTTCTTTTAGCTCTAGTAGACCAGGCTGGCCTCAAACTCACAGAGATCTTCCTGTCTCTACCTCCCAAGTGCTGGGATTAAAGGCGTGTGCCACCACCTCACGGCATAATTCATTTTTTTCTAAGGAAGAAAATGAGGTGCAAGGTTTAAGAAGCTTATTTGTTTTGGGTTTTGAGCCAAGGTCTTGCCTTGTAGTTCAGGCTGGACTCAAGATCACCATTCTCCAGCCTTGGCCTCCCACATGCAGGTTCTGAAGCAGTTCTTATTGACCCACAGAATAAACTAGCTATATATAGGAACAGCATGTCTTTCATCTAGTTTTACTACAGCCTATATGACATCACTATACTACTAAATGCTACTCTGTAGTTGCTAAAACCATTGCAACTATTTTCTTGACATTCTGAAAGCTTCCACATAATTAAAAAAATAAATTAACAGTGTACTCAGTATGAAATATTTCATACAAAGATTTTAAGTCCTCCTCACATATGCCTATTGTTCATAGACTTCATGCATGGCATAAAAACCTGGAGGTACTGTGGCTTGGAACCAAGCCCTTCCTGCCCTGTTGCCTGTGTGGAAGAGAAGGGAGGACTCTAGGGTTGTTCCCCTGGCCTCTAGATGCCCAGCAGAACTAGGTCAAGGTACTGGAACATCTGGGAAGGCTTCCCCAAGAAGGAGACTCCCTCCCTCCACTCCTAGCCATGGCTCACTAGGGGCTACTTAGATGGAGAGGAGATGGGAATAGGTGTGGAAGCTGGGCATGGGCCTCCAGATACCCGGCTGGCTTGGGAGCCCCACTGAAGAGCACGGGAGGGCTGCTGAATGATTCCCCACATCCAGCTTCTCCAGGGCCTCCCTGGGGACACTTTGTCCCTACTGCCCATCGTCCTCCACACAAGTAGTGAAAAGGAGATGGGACTGGACGTCTCCAGGTGTAGGGTGGCCTACAGCTAGGTGCAGAGCTGGGAACTAGATACACATTCCCAAACCCCTGCTGTTCTGGAGACCAAAGCAGGATGGTTGGGTGTTCACAGCCAGTGCTGTTGACACAGGAAGACTCCATTCTAGCCAGCGCTAGACAATCTGGGGCGAGGGTCTGTATGTACCCACAAACAATCGGCTTTACCCCTCACATCTGGGTTCCTCACCTAGGACTGGGATGACCTCATAGGTTTGTCCTGGGGGTGGAAAACAATGGAACACACAGGTGAGTCACCAAGTGCAGATGTCACTCTCCTTGAATCTTTACACTCTGGCAAGCCAGGAGCCGCCGCTGCCCCTCCTTACAGATAAGGAAACTGAGGGCTGCAGGGGTTAGTCAGCTGAATGGCACAGGCACACACACCTCTGGGCAATAGCCAAACTGGAATTAGAACTGAAGCCACGTGATGTCAGCACCCAGGAACCAAGCTCCTTTGCTCTGTTGTTTTATTGGTTTGTTTCCAGTTTATAGGTCTACACCCCTCCCACGTCTTGGGTGTGCTGTGAACCTCCCAGAGTTTCATCATGTCCAGATGAACTCAGCACCTGCCTGATTGGAGGGCCTGCCAAGGTAGGCTAAGCGTGGTGTGTTGGCTTGGGTCCAAGTGGCTGGCGTTGGTTTCCTTTTTCCTTTTTCCTTTTTTGCTTTTTCTTTTTTTTTTTTTTTTTTTTTTTTTTTTTTCTTTTCTTTTCTTTTTTTTTTTTGGTTTTTGGTATATTTTGGGTTTTTGTTTGTTTGGTTTTGGTTTTTTTCTCTATGAAATCCTGGTTGTTCTGGAACTTGTTCAGTAGACCAGGCTGGCCTTGAATTCACAGAGATCCTCCTGCCTCTGCCTCCTGAGGGCTGGGATTAAAGGCGTGTGCCACCACTGCCTGGACACTTTGCTTGATTTTCAAAGGGGTCAGGTAGCCTGACCAAGGAGAGGGCACTTTGTCTTCAGCTCTCCAAAGCCGTCAGTTTGCTCTCACAGGTGCTGGGGAGGGGGTGGCAAATGACATTCTTGAAAGAAGGTCAGGCAGTTTTCAATCTCTAGCTCCTTTCAAAGGACTTGTGTCCCACATACTCTCCGCTGGCAGCAAACTTTGTCTCATCCCCTGGACTACCTCTTCAAGTAGTCCTTGTGTCCCCTTGTGTCCCCTTGTGTCCCCTTGTGTCCCTTGTCCCTTTCCCCATAAGCTAGAGTTTCAACACACATACACAGAGAGAGAGAGAGAGAGAGAGAGAGAGACAGAGACAGAGAAAGAGACAGAGACAGAGAGAGACAGAGAGAGAGATCCACCTGCTTATGCCCTGAGCGCTGGGATTAAAAGCATGCACCACCACTGCCTAGTCTGTCTCCTAATCTTCCCTAATCTTTAGATCCAAGTCCTCTAACTTTCCAAGACTCAGGTGTCCTAAATGCTAGCCATAGACACGCAGAGCAGATAATAAAATGGCTAGCCGGAAAAGCTGATGAGGAGGTAGAGTTCTCAGGTAGAAGAAAGTGGAGGCTGTGGGTTCTCCTCCAGGCTATCTCCCCTCCTGCCTCCAGGGCGCTCTCTCTCAGCTGAAATCCTGGCAGTAGCTTCAAATCATCCCACAGAAACTGGTAGATGTAACAAGCTGTGGCTTTTGTTCTCCCCAGAGACTGTTGTTAAACAGTTGCCAGCAGACCACTTTCCCAGAGACAGGGTTCCTCTGTGTTGCAATCCTGGCTGTCCTAGAGCTCCCGCTGTAGATTCCCGCTGTAGACCAGGCTGGCCTTGAACTCACAGAGATCCACCTGCCTCTGCCTCCCAAGTGCTGGGATTAAAGGCATGTGCCACCACTGCTCAGTTCTGTTTGTCCTCTTATGTGGTCTGGAATTTCTGTCTTGTGTGTCTCCTCAGAAGGCTATGGTGTCTGAAGAGAATTATGAGAAACCACGGAGTCAAGGCTGGGGTCCCACTTTGTGGGCTGGTCCTACATCACCTGCCTTGGGTCCTATCCCTCCATACATAGCTGCTGGCCTTGCTGGAACATGGGACCCAACTCTGCAGAATGAAAGAACTGAGACCCCCACGTTTGGAGCCATATGGACTCAGGTGTGCTCAGAAGCAAACCACCCTAGGTGCCTTGTATGAAGCATGGAACTTATGAAAGAATAAGTTGCTAGGGCTGGGGCTATAGTCAGCTGGTAGAGTAATTATCTAGCACACGCCAGGCCCTGGGTTCAAACCCCAGCACAGCATACAGTGAGTGTGTGGTGGTGCATGCCTCATGCATGCCAACCTAGCACCCAAGAGGTGAAGACAGACAACACCTGCAGCTCAAGGTCATTCTCTAATCTTTAGTGAGTTTGAGGCCATCCTGTGATACACAAGACTCTGCCGCTGCCATTTAAAAAGATGCTAATGTTTTTAAGCTAAGAGACTTTCATTGCTCATAATTGTGGTGGTGTGAACTAAAATAGCTCCCATAGACTCATACATTTGAATGCTTTGTTCCCAGTTGGTGGAACTGTTTGGGAAGGGTTAGGAGGGGTAATCTTGTTGGTGCTATTGGGGGTGGTCTTGAGATTTCAAAGCCCATACCAGCCAGATACAGTCTCTCCTCTCTCTCTCTCTCTCTCTCTCTCTCTCTCTCTCTCTCTTCTTGCCCTTATATCAAAGGTAAACTCTCAGCTACTGCTCCAGCACTATGCCTGTCTGCCTGCTGTCACGTTTTTTGCCATGATGATCATGGACTCTCAACCTCTGGAGCCAGGAGCCCCCAAATTAAATGCTTTCTTCTATAAGTTGCCTTGGTCATGACGCTTTATCCCAGCAATAGAGAAGTAACTAAAACAATAACCAACTTGTGCTCCAAACAAAGCCGGTGGTTTCCCTGAACCTCAGCTTGCACCTCTATAAAACAGACCCTCAGTAGCTGTTGCTTCCTTAGGCTATCACAAAGGTAAACAATTCCTATAAAAGAGCTTTCTTAGTGGAGGGCTTACCAGGTTATTCTTTTCTTCTTCTTCTTTTTTTTATTAATTTATAAAAACTTCCACTTCCTCCCCTCCTCCCAATACCCTCCCACTCCCCCCATTCCCTCTCCTCCTCCCTCTCCAGTCCTAAGAGCAATCAGGGTTTCCTGCCTTGTGGGAAGTTCAAGTTCCTCCCCACTCCCTTACCGGGTTATTCTTATTAATAATTCTCTATCTCAAAGGCAAGCATGAAGAATAAGAAGCTGACTTCTATGATCAGCCTATGATCTGCACGTAGTAAATGTTCAATTACTGTTCCCTGTAGAAGCAAGAAGAACCTTTAAGAGGATGGAGGTGACTTTCCTTTGACAAGGTCTTGGCCATTCCCACCACCAGGGGGCGTCCCCGCCCCTTCCGCGGCACCGCCCCCTCACCTGTGCAAACCAGCACCTGGCACCGCCTCCGGAAGAGGACATTGGGGATCGGGGGAACTTCGGAGGGAGCCCGGTGGCGACAGGTGAGAGCCTAGGGGGCGCAGGGGGCGGGACAACCAGACTTTGGGCATGGTTGTGGAAGACCGGTCGTCAGGGCAGGATGAGGGAGCGAGCTCAGGAACGGCCTCTAGGGACTCTGGAAAAAACTCCGGGACGCCAGAACACCAGCAGCAAAGAGAGTGGTGGGCAGGCACTGGGTACCCAAAGCAGGAGTCCCCACTGCGGGGGACCACTGGGTCTGGGTCTGGCACAACTGAACTGTAGGGACTTCTGTAACACCTGGGACTTTCGGGCCCAGCTGTACTTGACACCTGTCGAGAGGAGGGGAACAGGTGTGCACGCGCTCTGGGGTAAATAGGGAGCGGGGACCTTCCCAGAGGTTGACATGAAGAAGCCAGGGTGTCAGGCCTGTCCTCCTGAGCCCCTGAGCCCCTTCCCTGGGCGGTCCTCGTAGAGCACAGGGCTCCCATCCCCAGGGGCGGGCCGGGAAGTAAACAGAAACCCGAAGTGGCGGCGGCAGTGTGCTGGCTGGCACAACCAGTTACCTCGCCCTACGCTGGGTCAGTGCCAAGGCCCAGGGAAATTGGGGGTCTGGGGATGAGGGCTCCTAAATCGGGAGGGGTAGAGGCAGGAAATCCTGGGTCTTGCTAAAATACTTACGAGACTCCACTGGGAATTCAGGAGAGAGGACACGATGGCCATCAAGGCTGACAAAGCTGACCAGGGCTAAAACACCTGGGTTTGAGAAAGTAGAGCCGGGATATGGAAGGCAAAGGGCTAGAGACCAGAAGGGTCAGGAGTTGGATCCCTGTGGCTAAAGCGTCAAGGCACACCTGGGTTCCTAATGGTGAGAGAGCCCCTTGCTCTTAGAATAAGGAGCTGTTTTCTTCGTGTAGCTGAGTCTATGTGAACCTGAATTCTAGGATTAGTGCCCAGGAGGTGAGGGACTGGGAAGAGGAGCAGGAAATGTCAGAGAGTAACTTGTGGCACCAGGGTGCAGGGACAAAAACTTCCTGAAGGCAAAGACCATGTGGCAAAGGCAGAAGGTAGGAGTCTGAAGGCAAGATGGTTGATTTCATGCTGCTTCCTGCCTCAGTTTACCCTGAGGTCATTAACGGAGTTGAGCAGCCATCATGGGTCATTAACCTTTGTTGGTTCAGGGAGGCCCTGGCTGCAAGATTGGGAGGTTTAGGTGTTTGCCGCCAGGCGCCGAGTCCTGGGGCTGCGGCAGGGTGGCAGGATCGACAACAAATTGTCTCCACAGATGCTCAGGTACCATGGACTCCCCTGGTGGGTCAAGCTTCCCTTCTGGGCTGCTCTCAGGGGGTGCGTCTCCTAGCGGTGATGAAGGATTCTTCCCCTTCGTACTGGAACGCCGAGACTCCTTCCTGGGAGGGGGCCCCGGGCCAGAGGAACCAGAGGACCTGGCCCTACAGCTGCAGCAGAAAGAGAAGGACCTGCTGTTGGCCGCTGAACTCGGCAAGATGCTTCTGGAACGCAATGAGGAGCTTCGGAGGCAGCTAGAAACGCTGAACACTCAGCACCTGGAGCGTGAAGAGGTAAGCTGGCCTCTGCGGCGGACGGAGGGTGGGCGGGGCTGGAGTGGACAGGGAGGAGAGGAACAAGGGAGGATAAAAGGGCAGAGCGATGCCTCTCAAACAGATCTAAGCAAGCAGGGAAACCAGAAAAGTGCCAGCCTGTAGTCCCAGCGCTCTAGAGGCTGAGGAAGGCTCTGTCCAAAGAGAAAAAGAACCAGGCGTGGTGACACATGCTTTTAATCCCAGCATTTGGAAGGCAGAGGCAGGCGGATCTCTGGGGCAGCCTGTTGTATTCTGCATAATGAAACCCTGTCTAAAAAAATAAAAAGAAAGGAAAGAAGGAAGGATGGAAGGAAGGAAGGATGGAAGGAAGGAAGGATAGAAGGAAGGAAGGAAGGAAGGAAGGAAGGAAGGAAGGAAGGATGGAAGGAAGGAAGGAAAGGAAAGGGAAGGGAAAAAAGAAAAGAAAGAAAAAGCAAGCAAGCACACACACGCTCACATTCATTTAAAAAAGAAGAGTGGATCTGGACAGCGGTGACGCATGCCTTTAATCCCAGCACTGGGGAGGCAGATCTCTGTGAGTTCAAGACCAGCCTGATCTACAAAGGGAGTTCCAGGACAGCCAGAGCTATTACACACAGAAATCCTGTCTCAAAACTAGAAAGAAAAAAAAAAAAGGTAGACTGGGGTTGAGGTAGGTTGGTAGAATTCTTGCCAAATAAACACAAAGCCCTGAGTTTGGTCCCCAGCAACACATAATTTCAGGCATGGTGGGGCTGTAAACTAGCCCTTGGGAAGTGGAAGCAGGAAGTTCAGAAGGGTTCAAGGCCATCCTTGGCTGGTATTCTGTTAGAATCCAACCTGGGCTGCATAAAACCCTAAAAAAGAAACTAGACTGGAGGTATAATTCTGTAGTGAAGGATTTTTTTTTTTTAAACATGTACAAGGCCTTGGGTTTGGTACTCAGCACAGCAATAAATAATAAATAAGTAATCTCAGACTTGATGTAATGGCACACACCTTTAATCCCAGCATCCACGAGACGGGGTCAGGCAGATATCAGTGAAGCCAAGCTGGTCTCTGTAAATCCCAGGCTATACAGGACTATATAGTGAGACCCTGTCTCAATGACATAAATAATTTAAGGACAGGCAAGATCCCCGTCTGACTGTGTGACCCTGGGCAAGCTGTTGGCCCTCTAAATCTAAAGGCTAGCTCATCAACCATCCGCCGTAAACTCAGACTCTGGGAGCCGCTCCCAGCCTTCACCCTGCTAAATGTCCCTCACGTACATTCTTTTCATTCTTGTCCATTCCTGGGCTGTAGGATCGGGTCTCACTCTGTCAGCCACTCTCACCCTGGGGTTCACATCTGTAGTTGTAAGCACCTTCATGTACTCCTGTTGTAGACCTGAATTTCTGCCCCAAGATGACCTTGGTAGACAACTACCCCGCACTCTTTCCACCAGGCTACCGACCAGCATTTGCATATAAATGGTGCTCAGGACTCCGTGCACACCTAGAAGCCAGGTTCCGAATTCCCCAGCCCATCTTTCATTCTCTCTCTAGCTCCAGCAGGTGGTAGCCCCCCACGTCTCTGCCTCAATCTCTACAGCATCCCCACATTGGCCCCAGGTGTCCCAGAATCTGACTTGGATAACAGTGAACAAAAAAAGTGCAATCAGACCGGGTGTGGTGGCACACACCTTTAATCCCAGTGTTCAGATGGCAGGGGCAGAGGGATCTCTGTGAGTTTGAGGCCAGCCTGGCAAAATTATAGGACAGCTAGAGTTGTTACACAGAGAAACTCTGTCTCAAAAAAAATTTTTTAAAAAACCCCGTTACTTTATTTCTGTATTAGCTTTCCCATCGCAGTCAAAATGAAACTGAAATTCCTCCCTGTGGCCTAAATGTCCTGGAACTGCTGTCCTCTGGTGTCGATGACAGCTTCTTTCTTCTGACAGGGTCTTTTTCGGTTCCTTAAGTGACTCAGTCCTGCCCCGATTCGCCTGCCTGCCCCACTTTGAAGTCAGGTCTGCTATGCAGCTCAGGGCTGGCCTTGAACTCAACATCCTCCCACCTCAGTCTCCCAAATGCTGAGATTACATACGTGTGCACAGACGTGTGCACAGACGTGTGCACAGATGTGTGCTGTTCCCCTGCAACCCTCTTTCTGATTGGCTTCCCTTGTCTTGCAGGGGCCACTGCAAATATCAGTCCCTTCTTAAGTGACCCCCCAAGCTCCTCCTCATTTCCCTGAGTTCCTCCACAACCCATTCCTCTCTGAAATTGCCTGATCCAGGCATGTGCCCATTTACCTGTGACCCTCTGGCAGTGAACATGAACTTGCTGGTCTCCCTCAATTCTTAATAACCAGACCCTAGACTAAGAGGAGCACAGGAAATACTGAATAGGGCTGATGTATGACAGTGGGGATTGATGGACAAAGGATTTGAAGGTGTTAAAGGGACTTGCAGATATTAAAAAGGCTTGTTGAGGGGCTGGAGAGATGACTCAGTGGTTAAGAGCACTGACTGCTCTTCCAGAAGTCCTGAGTTCAATTCCTAGCAACCACATGGTGGCTCACAACCATCTATATAATGAGATCTGGTGCCCTCTTCTGTCATGCAAGCATTGCAAATAGAGCATTCATATACATAAAATACACAAATTAATTTTAAAAAGAGCCTTTTAAAAAGACTTGGTAAAACCACATAACAGTAGCAGAGCTAAGCACTGGACAGGAAAATTGGATCCCAAAGCTGCCCAGGGCTTTGTTGCTCTAGCAATATTGAGTAATAGTTTGACTACCTAGGTTGCCTGCACAGCTAGCTTCTGACCTGTTTCCTCGGCTGAGGATGTTGATGCTCCCTCTAGTGGGCGAAATTAAGTAATACAGAGAAGCAGCTAAACACCTGGCTGGAACACCTGCTAATAATTGTAACAACTGTAGTCAGAGTCACCTGGCCCATCCCGTGCCTTCCTGCTTTGAAGGTCCGGAGACAGTGCCACCACCCCCCCTCCGGTGCGCTGGTCCAACAGGTTTGGAGGAGGGCAGATAGAGGGGTGGGGCTCTGGGTGGGACAGCCCAGTATTAATTAGAGGGAGCCCGGCAGAGGGGCTGGGCCAAGCTGGCGTACAGAAGTTCTTGGAGACTGTGAAGTGGGAGGCCATGGGCCGGGGCTTAAATTCTACCAGGCTCAGGCGCCAAAAACGACGCTTACGACTTCGGGTCCAGAAGCCCAGGCGGCAGCAGGAGGTGAGTGGGCATCAGAGTTGTGACTCCCATCCCTGTCTGGCCTGGAACCTTCTTTCCAGCTCTCTCTGGGTGTCATTTACTCTTACTGACTCTCCTTTTTTGCCTTCTTGTCTGTCCTAGACAGACTGGCCTCTTTCGATCTGGGTGATTCTCGCTCCATCCTAGTCTGAGTTTGTGCCAATTCAGGTGACTTCCTGTCCTTCCCCTCCCCCACAGAGACTGCAGCAGGAGAATCATGAGCTCCGCCGTGGACTGGCAGCCCGGGGTGCTGAGTGGGAGGCCAGAGCTGTGGAGCTGGAGGGAGACGTGGAAGCCCTGCGGGCCCAGCTTGGGGAACAGCGGTCAGAGCAGCAGGACAGTGGCCGAGAACGGGCAAGGGCCCTCAGTGAACTCAGCGAGCAAAACCTCAGACTCAGCCAGCAGCTGGCCCAGGTATAATGACCCTGACCCCTGGAGAGGTGGGTTGGTCTTGAGCCCAGATCATCGGATGGCTCCATTGTCAGTTCCCCCTCCCCAGGCCTCCAGGACGGAGCAGGAACTGCAGCGGGAACTGGACACCCTTCGCGGACAGTGTCAGACTCAAACCCTGGCAGGGGCAGAGCTGAGAACTCGGCTGGAGAGTCTGCAGGCGGAGGTAGTAGCAGTTGCAGCTCTCTGAGACTGGTCCGACAGCCCCCACACCCCAGCCTCTGCCTCACCTCTGACACCTGTCCCCAGAACCAGATGCTGCAGGATCGCCGGCAGGACCTGGAGACCCAGATCCGAGGCCTTCGTGAAGAAGTAGACAAAGGCCAAGGCAAACTACAGACCACCCACGAGGAGTTGCTGCTGCTTCGTCGAGAGAGGAAAGAGCACAAACTAGAGGTGATCAGAGGGGTGAGGGGGGGGCGGCCAGCTAGGCCCTTGACGATGCCTCAGGACTTTCTGTGACCAGTTAAATGCCCAAGTGGGACCCTGAGGGCAAGCGAGAGCCAAGAAAGAGTATTGAGCAAGGGAAATGCCCTCTTAAAGTGCATCAGAGCCTGGCGGATGGAAGGCCAGGAAGAGGGCTGGGGTCAGAGTTGAGGAGTGAAAAGGGAGAGAGCAGTGTGAGTTCAGTTGGCTTGGCTTCTCAGCCCCACCCTAATCAGTTCCCCCACTTGTGGTACGGGGTGGTATTATACACCTCAAAGGACTGGTAGGGTGAGACTCAGAAGGAGAGATCAATAAACGCTAGATCAAAGCAATTAGTGAATTAGAATAAAGGCTGTGCAGGGGAGGGGACCTGATGACCTGATGCGGCCAGGCCTGGGGCAGAGGATGATGCCAGGCACTCCCTGCTTTATAGGTAAGGAAATTGGTGCCTGCAGAGGGGAGGTGTATTCCAGGTTGCTCTGTGATTCAGGAGAGGGGGCAGGTCTAGTTCACCGGGGTGCTGACCCTGGCATTGCTCGGCCCTCGGGCGCCCCCTGCGGGCCCACCGCAGAGTGCAGGTTTTATGCTGACAGTTGGAATGATCTGTATGATCTGCAGCTGGAACGCGCTCGCTTCGAGGCTGGCGAGGCGCTGAGCACGCTGCGGAGGTTGCAGCGGCGGGTCTCAGAGCTGGAGGAGGAGTCGCGACTCCAGGACGCCGAAGTGTCGGGTACCTCCCTGCAGACCGAGCTTGCCCACAGTCTCGACAGCGACCAAGACCAAGACCAGCATGTCAATGAGTGTGAAGGAGCCCAAGTGAGTTTCAGCTTACCAGCCCCGTATTGGTTAGAATAACCAATGAGGGGTGCAGACTCTGCCCCCTTTTCCCCGGAAGTTTCATGCAGTACTGATCAATTCCTTTGGCCTATAGAGTATCTTGTCCCCGGAGATACAAGAGGCATCCAGTCCCCAGCCTTCAGTCCAGGAAGAGAGCTTGGAACCCCCCAAGAAGAGAGCATCCCTGAGCCCAGTGGAGATTCTGGAGCAGAAGGAGGCAGAAGTGGCCAGGCTGCAGGATGAGGTTGGAGAGGGCATGGTACTGGATGCAAAGGCCCAAGGTGTCCCGTTCTTTCTCATCTCCACTGTCCAGCCCACTCCTCAGTGAACCTGTAGTTGCTTCCTGAGCTGGCCCGAACTTCCAGGAAGCCTTCTGGGCTCCACTCCCTAAGCGTCTCCCTTCATTCCTCCTGTTGAAAGCTTACCCTTCCCCTGTACCAGTCCAAGGCAGACTTAGTTGCCTGCAGTGTTTATGGAGCAGGGACAGGTCGGGACGGCACCGCTGTCCTACAAGGCTCATGTGCCAGTCTACCTTCTTTCCTGGCCTGCAGATCGTCCTGCTCCGCACAGAGCTACAGACTCTCCGGGATGAGCTGCAGCGACAGAAGGAGCTGAGGGCGCAGGACAATCCCGAGGAAGCCCTGAGCTGTGCGCTCGCTGACCGGGACGAAGCAGTGAACAAGTGAGCCTGGCATTCTCACCCACTGCCTCAGCCGGGCTTGTTCTCTCGTCTTTTCTGGGCCCGATTTCCACCGCCCTGACAAGAGTAGAACTTCCATTTTACTCAGAAGCTTCAGTGTTCCTTAATTTTGGTGTTAGTGCCCCCCCCCCCCCGCGACTTTCACCAGGTCTAAGAGTACCCAGTGCCCTCGGACCTCATTCTCTACCCCTTCCACTCCTAGGGCCCTGAAGCTGTCCCTGGAGCTCAATCGTGTCTCGCTAGAGCGGGACTCTTTGTCCCGGGAACTGCTGCGAGCCATTCGCCAGAAGGTGGCGCTGACGCAGGAGCTTGAGGCTTGGCAGGTGAGAGGGCGGGGCCCGAGTAGGACTGGTGGACCAGCATCCTGACCTGACCCCACCTCTACTCTAACCTATACCCACCCTGCTCCGCCTCCTGCAGGACGACATGCAGGTGGTGATTGGACAGCAGGTGCGCTCCCAGCGCCAGAAGGAGCTCAGTGAGGCTGCCGCAGCTCGAAGACGCACGAAGACTGGCTTCTCTTTGCGTCTGGGATCAGGGCAGAATGGAGGCTTTCTAAGCAACCTCTTCCGAAGGACCTGAGGGCTGGGCGGCAGGGCTACCTTTTCTCGCCCTCGGGCTCACTTTCCTCTTAGCAGCCAATGGAACCACTGGGCCTGAATAACTTCCAAGTAAGGCCATTGTCTTCCTTTCCCCAAGAGGTGGACAGAGGCACTTCGGGAGAAGGGGCCAGTTTGGGGGCAGGAGGCCCAGGTGGGTGGCAGGGCAGAGCTGTTTATTTTTCGAAATCTATATAGGTCTATCTTTTCTAAGCTTCAGCTCCTGCCCTATCTGTGTGACAGGGTTAGGGATGGGCATTGATGTGTAAGGATAAGTCAGAGTAATATATATCACTACATTTACTTGGTCTCCATTCTTGGGTAGAAAATGCAAACAAGAAAAACCTAAAACTTTATTTTGACAGAAAAAAAAAAAAAAGCTGAGTGCCGTGGCTCACGGGCCTAAATCTCAGCACTTCCGCAATGGATAGGACTGCTCAAGGCCTGAAACCAAACTGAGCCACAAATTGAGTTCCAGGCCAGCCTGGGCTAACATGTAAGGCAACCCCCATCCCAAATCACAGTAAACTCGAGCTCCTGAGACGGAGGATCCTGATGTCAGAAGGACATGGAGAAGGCACGGTAGCCCAGGTTGGTGAAGACATCCACTCGACAGCTGTTGCCTGAAGCAGTCAGAACCTAAAAGCCAGGAAGACATGGCTGACTCACCCATCCCATAGGCCCCTTGAGATCCCACATTCGTTCCAAGACCCACCTTGCACTCTGGGGCTGCTGGCTGCTGGTTGAGGCTTAGGCTGAGCAGCCCTGGGGAAGAAGCAGGCACCTGGGCCTTAAGCTCCCCACTCAGCTGCCAGTGGTTGACACAAGAGCCCTGGCCAGCAGACAGGATCTGTGGAGGACAGATAGGAATTCAGGGATCAGGTCTAAGCAGGGGCACTGGACAAGGTGACAGAATCAAGACCGAGGGTCTCACCAGGTCCTGGTAGAAGGTGACATGCTTCTGTGGTGCCCGAATGGGAAAGACAGTGGTGGGCGTGGAAGACCTGAGGTGCCAGAGGGTGAGGGCTGGGCCGCCTCCACAGACCTAGGCAGAAAGGTAGCAGGCCCCAGTCATTGTGAGTCATGGACTTTAGTGGTCACTCGATCCCACACTGCCCAACTCACCATCCAGTCTGAGTCAGTGGCCAAACATCCAATCCAGCGCCCATTGTGGGGCCTTGAGCACTCCTGGGAAGGAGAGAGGAGGTGAGGACACTGGAGGATGGAGAATTAAGGAGACAAGGGCGTAGGTCTCTCCTCACCTCATGCTTATAGACTTCAATGGTCTGAACCTCTTTGGCTATACGGAGATCTGTGTGGAAATAAAACCACCAGGACTCTTGATGAGCCACAAAGCCCCACCCCCACTTACCTTTTTTTTATATTTTTATCTATCTATTTATTTATTTATTGAAGACAGAGTCTCTACATAGTCCTGGCTGACCTGGAACTCACTCTGTACACCAGGCTGGCCTCTAACTCAGAGGTGCTCCTGCCTCTGCCTCCCAAGTGCTGGGGTAAAGGTGTGTGCCACCAGACCCAGCTTACTTTCTTACTAATTGGACATTTCCTTACCCCAAAGCCGCACAGCTCCATCCTCACCACCAGACAGCACCTCAGGGCTGCGGTCCCTCAGTGCCAGGCAGTGGATGTAGTCTGTGTGGCCCCGAAGGGCCCGCTGCAGGGAAAAGGGAAGGCTCAGAGGGAGATCCAGGAAGCATCGACCTTTGGCCCAGACCTGCCCTGGCTGCAGACCCTCACTCACTGTGAAGGTCCCAGTTTCCAGGTCCATAGTGTGCAGCTGGCAATCTCCTCCGGCTAGAATCAGTGAATTCTCCTGCGGGGAAGCAGGAGAGAGCGGAAGGTCAGTGTCCATCAGCGCAGAGAAAGTGTAGAGAAGCAATGTTTGACCTAGAATGGTCACAAAGAACTCAGACCTTGGGGACAAGCAGCAAGGCATTGATTTCAGGTACTTCCAGGCTGGTCCTAGGTGGAGGAGGAGAAGCGTCAGAATCACAGAGGTAGTGTCTGTGACCTCACATGCCCTCCGCCAACATGGTCCCCGCTCACCTGTATGGCGGCTGACGACGCCACAGTTCCTTACAGCCCTTCAGAGAAGCATAGGAGGAAACACTGAATGAGCCCAAAACCTCCCCAGGTGGGGAAGCCCAGCCTGTCCCCAAGCTCCAAACTCCTTACCTTCTTGAGAATTTCTGCCCAAAGCCAGCCCTTCACTTCCCCATCCCCAGCACTGAGTAGATGCCGATCCGTGGAGACCATGCTATAGATAGGCCCATCGTGGGCTAAAGAGACAGAAAATGTTAATGAGCCCTCTGTGTCCCCATCTCTATCCTGAGATCTCCTGAACCACACCCAACAGCTATACCCACCATGGAAGGTCACCATGGGTTTTTTGCTTTCTTCTTTGGCCTCTGAACTCAAGGCAGCAGACAAACTGAAAGAAAGGTGGGGAGGAGCCAAGAGTCAAGCAGGGAGCATTAATCCCAGAAGGCACCAAGTGCGCAAGGCTCATGTGTGGTGGGTATCAGGGGAGAGGGTACCTGAAGATGGCAATTTGCCCATAATTGTTGCCAGCTGCCAGGAACTTCCCACAGGGTGAGACACTCTGGGAGTAGATGGTCATGTGCAGTCGCTGCAGGGCCTGAAAGACCTCAGCCTGTGGGAAGAGGGCAGATGAGGAGTCTGGGATGCTGGGGCCTCATCCTACAGACTCCAACCCTTCTCAGTCACAACCACATGTAGCAGGTAGCTTCCCATACAAGAGCAGGTCCAGGACAGTGCGAAAGGGAGAACTGAGGCACAATGCCCAGGACTTAGAGCAAGCACCAAGCCGCTCCTGTCAGCTGACCAGACAGACAGCCCTCACAGGAAAGTCTGTCATAACTAGGTAAACTAGGGAATATAAGAGCTTTGTACCAAATGGGGTAGTGCACAACGGTGATCCCAGCATTTGCCAGGTGCAGGTAAGAGGATCAGTGGTAATTCAAGATTATCCTCAGCTATATAGTGAATTCAAGGGTAACCTGGGCTACATGAGATAGTCTCCCATACACACACACACACACACACACACACACACACACACCTGAGGGTGTAATTGAATTGTGAGAGCACTTGATTAGCATGCACCAAGCCTCAGGCTCACTCCCCAGCACTGCACACTGCATAAAGCAAGCACACACCTGTGGCCTGTGCTCCCAGCACTCAGGAGGTGCAGGTAGGAGGACTTCCTCCACTCCACGACAAACTCCAGGCCAGCCTGAAATATGTCGGCCCTGTCTCAAAAAACTAAGTGAATAAAAATAATAAATCTTTAAAAAACGGGGGGAGGGTGTGATGTGTCTGGGAGATGGCTTAGCAGGTAAATGTGCACTACTCCTGCAGAGGACCCCAGCACCCACATGGCAGGTCACAGCCATCTGGAACTCTAGTTCCAGATCTGATGTCATTCCTCCCCCAGAAAGGTTCTCTTATTGACCAACTGGCCTCAAACTCACAGAGATCCACCTGCCTCTGCCTCCCAAGTGCTGGGATTAAAAGTGTGCGCCACCACTGCCCTTTTTTTAAAATTATTTATTTTTATTTTATGTACGTTGGTATTTTGCCTGCATGTATGTCTGTGTAAGGGTATTCAATCCTCTGGAACTGGAGTTACAGACAGTTGTGAGCTGTCACGTGGGTGCTGGGCCACATGGGTGCTGGGACTTGAACCTGGGTCCTCTGGAAGAGTAGCCAGTGCTCTTAACCGCTGAGCCATCTCTCGAACCCCCAGAAAGGTTCTCATAGGAAGCCCTCTTGCTGTGGAAGCAACCCTGTCTCACATCAACAGAATCCTAAGTTATTTAAATGCCATGTTCTACAGATCTTTGAAGTGACTGAAGGTTACCTATCTATGCAGAATACAACCTCTCTGTATCTAAAGAGCCTAATTAGTCTGACTAACAAATATGAATGACTATTGACCTATAATACTTAATACCTATATAACTTAAAGATTAAGACTTCATATCAGAATATTAAACAATCTTTAAACAACTGTGCAGTAAAACAGGACAATGACATAAAAATGTAAACAATGTATAAATATCTTGATCAGAGGTAGAAATATATAATGCAATATGATAAATATATCCTAAATTGTATAAATACAAAATGTCTTAGAGGTAGAAACATGCATGCCTACAATATGACAAAATAACTTTGTATAGGTGTACAAATATTGTAAACAGAAATAATAAATATAATTTGAACTTGTATCAATATACAAGAAATTATACTAGGGTAAATTGTCCATAATAATAGCTCACAAGTATTTACTCTATTACTCACTATTATTATTATTATTAATAAGTTCACACTAAATTACCTATTATCCCATTCACCCTCTTTTACCCCCAACTCACTATTTAGATCAAGCTGGCCTACTGGATTACAGGCATCTGTAAACCCACTCCTATATGGGTGCTGGGAACTGAACTTGGTACCTCTGGAAGAACAGCAAGTGCTTTTAACCACTGGGCCATCTCTTCGGCCCCCTGTGATGCCTCTTCTGGCCTCTGAGGATACCATAAACACGCATAGCATACATACAACATGTAGGCAAAACACTTATAGGCATAAAACAATGAACAAATCTTACAAGAATATAAATGGGCCTAGTGTGGTGGTGCACGCCTTTAATCCCAGCACTTGAGAGGAAGAGGCAGGCAGATCTCTGAGGTCCAAGCCAGCCCAATGTACTTCATAAACCTTTGTTTTACAAAAAAAAGATAAAGTGGTTCTTGAGGCTGAAGGTAACTACTCAATTGGTAGACCATGCTCTCTCTCTTTTTGTTTTTGTTTTGGGGGTGCCAAGGGGGGGTGGGGAACAGGGCTTCTCTGTGTAGCCCCTGATTGTCATGAAACTCAATCTGTAGAAACTCAAGAAATCCATCTGCCTCTCTCTGCCTCCCAAGTGCTGGGATTAAAGGAATGCGCTGCCACACCCAGTTTGTGCTCTTTTTAAAGATTTATTTTTATTGTTTTTTAATTATGTGTACACGTGTGCAAAGGGAGTGTGTGCAAGAGAGTACAGGTGTCCACAGAGGCCAGAGGACTCAAATCCCCTGGAGCTGGATTTATAAACAATTACAAGCTTTGGAACTTGAGTGCTGGGAACCAAACTTGGGTCCTCTCCTCATCCATTCTTACCCAAAGTCCCGCGTTTCAGCACCAGCACTGTATATATTGGGCATTATGGCACACCCAATAGTCCATAACACTCGGGAGATGAAGGTGGGAGGAAAAGAAGTTCAAGATCATTCTCCATTATTTAGCAAAGTTCAAAGTAAGCTGGAGATACATAAGACTATCCCACAAACAATAAGCAGTTCTTGGGCTAGAGTGTAACTAAACAATAGAGCACGTCCTTACCATGCCCAAGGCCCTGTTTTTTTTTTTATTTGAAGGCTCATGTACAATTATGATTAACTTTTTATTTCTAATACAAGGTCTCACTATGTAGCCCTGGATAACCGGGAACTCGCTATGCAGCAGGTTAATTTCTAACTCACAGATATGTCTGCCTCTACCTCCCCAGTGCTGGGATTAAACGTGTGTGGCACCACATCCAATGGTGCTAAATTTTTTTAAAGTGGGCTTTATTAGCCCTCATAGTAAAATGTACTGACATCTAATTCCTATGACTGTCCCTACTAGATCTCAAAGATCAGGGATCACTGTTTTGGGGGTCAGAGTCCGAGTTTCACAAACTACTTACCTACACTGGGCATCCTGGAGTATTCCTTGGCCACCCGGTGAGGGCAAGACTACAAACCCCAGAAGGCACTGTGCGCACACTCGACTCACCTGACCCAGAGGCACCGGGGACGGTGCGGCGTGCTCCATCTTCGGAACTACAACTCCCAGAGGGCTCTACGCGCGACACAACCTCTCGACGCTCGACAGAACCTTTCGAATCCCTACGTGCCTGAGAGTGGCTCTTCTCGTTGCGCCCCAGGACCTGGCACTGCCTGCAGTTCAACAACTAAGGCGGCAGGCCCGTATGGTCTCGAACCACCGAAACCTAGGAGAGCTCCGCGAAGCACCCTTATGCTAAATAGCGTCCGGGACTGTCCAGCTACGCCGAATCCCCTCCCCCACCTCGCTGGCCCGTCCCGCCTTCTAACCTCGCGTTGCTCGTCTTCCGCGCCTGCGTCGAACGTCGCCGGTGCGCACGCCGGTGGCCCCGCCCCTCGCGTTGTACCACGCCCTCACAGGCTCCGCCTCTGCCGCCTGGATCCCACCCCTCTATCTGCAGGACCCTGAAACCTAATGATCCTACAACAGCCCCTGGAGCGAGGCCCCCCAAGTCGGGACCCACGGGCCACCACTGGGGTGGCTCGCGGCCTGGACGCCAGGTGCGTAAGCAGTCCCTGGGTGGGCCGGACTAACGGAGGGCAAGATATTTGACTGGGGACCCAGGGCCGGTCAGGGTGATCCTGGGAAGTGAGGCGAGGTGGTGCAGGAAACCGTGGTGCTCGAGCTTGTGTTGGAGCTGGGAAGCCACGGTCAGAATTTCCGAGGTAGCCTGGTGGATGACGGCCTGGGAAAGGAAGGTGGCTTAGGCCACACAGACAAGACTGATTCTGGAATCCTGGCTTACTTTGCAGGCTCAGGAGGGCAGATCTTCGGGAAGGGGCCAAGAGAGTGGGCTACACCTGGCTCGATTTCCCAGCTCCCCTCTCCTTGGGGCTGTGCCCATGAGCACGGAGACCCCTGGAGAAGGAGCATTAAGTTTGGGGGCAGATGGGTCCCCTGAGATGTCACCTTTGGTCCTCCTCATCAGTTTGCCTCCACCCTCAACATCCCTGCTTCTGTTCCTCTCTGGTCTTTCCCCCAGGGAGCCCTTGCACAAGCAGTTTCTTTCCGAGGAGAACATGGCCACCCACTTCTCTCGACTCAGCCTACATAATGACCACCCCTACTGCAGTCCCCCTGTGACTTTCCCCCAGGTCCTGCCACCACTCAGGTAGGCACCTCCCCTTGCAGGGCCTTCTAGAGGATCCCATTCAGTCGTCAGGGCCCCTCCTCATACCCTGCCTCATCCTGCTATTTTTAGCTTCTAGCCAACTTCTGTGCTGTTTTCCATCTTTGGCTCCAGGGGACCTGGACCTGGTAGGAGGTGGCTCTGCCAGGCCAGCCTCTGCCCCATAGTTTCACTGTCTTTTTTTTTTTTCTTCTTTCAGGAGCTCTTGCCCAGAGCTGCTTCTGTGGCGCTATCCTGGGAGCCTGATTCCTGAGGCCCTCAGGCTCCTGAGGCTGGGAGATACCCCCAGTCCCTTCTACCCTGCATCCCCCGCTGGGGACATCATGGAACTCTAAGTGCTGATGGCCAGTGTCCCTCCCCACCTTGTTCCCCGACAACAAAGACCAGCAACACCCCCCCCACTTTCCCCCCAGGGAAGAGGTCCTTCCCCTGTAACAGGATAGATGATACTGAACTCAGCGAAACCCTGAATGGGAGGGGCGGCAGCTTGGGAAGGGGAAAGTATCACCCTATTAGTGAATAAAGATTTCTGAGCAGTTGAAGGTTTCTCAACAACCTTTGAGGAGGGTGGAGTGCTGGATGCTGGGGTTTCCTCCTCAAAATCTTCCCTGGAAAACGGTGAGGGCAAGCCAGGTCCTGGCAGGCCGGGCTCCAGGCATTGAGAATGTGTGAGTCAGAGCCTCACCCCCCCCCCGCCCCCGCAGTGGCCGACTGACTCCCTCCCTTCCTCCAGTTCTGGGGACTCAAGCTAGGGATCAGGCCATACTCCAAGCCATTTAAAGTTAAAGATTCTTTTATTAATAAATTCTCCCTCCCCTCCAAACTTTATCCCCAAAATAAATATCCCCCCCCCTTTTAGGGGATGGGTTGTGTGTGTGTGTTTGTGTTAGGGCCAGCCCTCCCAGAGGGCCAGCCTCCTTAGTGTTAAGAACAGGTCCTTAAATCTGACCCACTTCCAGGGCTGAAACTCAGTGTTAGTTGAATTTTAGCCCATCCGAGTGGGTGGGACCTAGTGTGTCTGCCCCTCAAGTCAGTCGGGCCTCCAGGACTTGGGGAGAGCAGAAGACCCCCTTGTGCAAATGCTGCAGTTCCTTAGTATGTGTCGCTTTGTGACCCAGCTTAGGGCTCTCTGCCCTGGAACCAGAGACAGGGCAATCTAGACACCTTGGAAGACTCCCCTGAGCCCTAAGCCCAGTCTTTGGAGGTGAATCACCACCTCACCCCACCCCCTTGTGGTTGGAAGAGTCTGGCTCGGGTTGTGTCTGGAAGGCCAGCCTGGCTCCAGAATGAATGAATGGACGATGAGTGGGACCCAGCGCGAGCGCTCCTCACTGGATCAGTGCCACACCTGGGCAGCCCTCTCCACCAGTCTCCTCTATGGGGGCTGGAAGATAAGAAGTGGGGTTGTCATGATTAGGGGACATTTAGGGAAGTGATGGGGGAGGTGGGAGGAGTGAGGGTGGGGAGGTCACTTACTAGTAAACTTTTCTCTCCGTCGGCACCGTCTCCAGACCAGGAAACCAGAAAGCAGCGCCAAAACCAAGGCCAGACTAAGAGCGCCTCCCAGAATGGGCCAGAGCAGCCCGAAGGGAGCGGGAGGTGCCGCTGCGCCTAGTGGCCAGGATTCAAATCAGATCTCGCCCTTGGGAAGCCAGTCCTCCCTCAAGGAAGTCTCAAGCTTTGCCCCACACAGTGTTCCCCAACCTGATAGAAGCCCCTTCCCCGTCAGTCGTCCCTGACTTCCTAGATCCCTTTCGACGCCCCAGCAACCCTCTACCCACTTCTAGGATCCGCTTGCCACCGGCCCCGCCCCCACTCACATCCCAAGCAGAAGTCGCTGTGCGGTCGCGACGGACATGAAGCGCAGTCCATACACTTGTCGAGATCCGCGCTCCAGGAGCTGCCGCTAGAGCATGGGGTGGTGCCTGGGGAGGGGGCTGCAAGTCAGAAGCTGGCGGCTGGGCGCGGCTATTCTGGGGGCTGAGGTCAGGGTCAGTCGGCTCAAATAACGTGACTCACCATCGCCCCCCCACACCCCCGCATTCCTCACAGGTGACCGCACCGCCTGACCGAGACACGGCAGTGCGGGAGGGGGTCCGGTAGCGCGCGACTGGGGGGGGGGTGATATCCTCCCCCCACCGCCAGTGTGACTCACTCCTGGGCACCGGGCCCGACCCCAGTCCCTCCTCCCGCATAACTGGGCATTGAAGTCACCGGATGGAAGGGGCACCCCCACATGGTATAGAGGGCAAAGACCCCAGTACCCCTTAGTGATTCTTAGCTATCGGGACTGGTCAGATTCCATTACAGACCAGGGTGAGGGCATGCCCACTTCACAGAACAAACGTCCTTCCCTCGAAGTTTACTTTCTTTCTCTACTCTGGCTCGAACTTTTAAGACAGAAGACCCCGCACCTGATTGGACAGGTAGCGAAACTGAGACTCGGATTGTGGATAAAGATTGGAGTGGATTGAGATCTTCCCCACTTGAAACACACTGCCTCAAGAGCATGGATCCCAGAACCCCATGTCTACCCGGTTCCACTCAGATCTCCAGGAACCCAAATTTCATTCCTGACCATCCCAGAGTCCGAGGTTCACCGTCCTCTGAGCCAAGCATACCTGGTGCTTGTTCCCCGGCCGCGGCGCGTATCAGAACCAACCCGAGTCCCAACACGAGGATCTGCGGCAGAGGCCGCGGCCAACCCGGAGCCATGATTGCCGGTCCCGTTGCAACAGCAGTCTGTTCCCACTATCCGCGGGCCAAGACTCAGGGCTGGGGCCCCGCCCCGCCCCCGCCTTCCGGGGCGGAGCCCTTGCCTTTGCCCGCCCCAATATCAACTCCGTGCCGAAAGCAAGCAGTCCGCTAACGAGCCATTCATTCAACATAGTCCCTTCGAGTGTCTAGGACGTCGCGAAGACGTTTACCCTGCTCCACCCTCTGCGAGCCTTAGTCCCAAGAGTGTGGAGCGGGGAAAATCAGCTATAAGACAATTACAAAAAAATTTAAGTAAAAAGAAAGTATCTATTATTTTTCAATTCTGGGGTGGAACCACCAGGCAAGCACTGAGCTCTGCGCACACAGCCTTTATGTTCGCTTACTTTGTTTTTTTGTTTGTTTGTTTGTTTGTTTGTTTGTTTGAGACAGGGTCTCATACTGTGTCCCAGGCTAGCCTCAAACTCGAAACAATTCTGTCTCCGCCTCCCAAATGCTAAGATTGCAGGCAGGCGCCACCATATCCAGACTTCTTTGGTTTGTTTGGTTTTGTTAGGCAGGATCTTGCTTTGTAGCCCAGGCTGGTCTCTATCTCCGAATTCTCCTGTGTCAGTAAACAGCATTACGTTTGTAGTATGTGCGAGTTTATGCACGCTACATTATTTTTTTAAAAAAGATTTATTTTATTTTTGTGTACGTGTGTGTGCCACATGTGTATGAATATCCCTGGCGTCCAGAAAGGGCAACGGATCTCCTAGAAATGGAATTATAGGTGCTTATAAGCTGGGTGCAAAAAAAAAAACCGGTCACCTGGAAGAGCAGAAAGGCTCATAACTGGTGAATCATCTTTCCAGACCCACATGCTGCTTTCTTAAGGGCCTCGAGGGTATAACAAAAACGAGATGGCTCAGCGGTTAAGGATGCCTGTTGCCAAGCCTGTCAATCTGGAGTTCGATCCCCGGGGCCGGCAGAGTAGAAGACGAGAACCATTGCTAGCCCTCTTCTGATCACAGGTACGCAGTGTGACAGCCACACACATCCCCGCCCCCCGATGTGCCCTTTAATTTGTACCTTAGGACTTACATTCAGACTTGTCTCCATTTGCAAAGTGAGAGACGGACTATGAAAAGTTGAGTTTATTCTCGAGTCACAACTCGAGTCGCTGAACTCAGCGGTAGCAGGTGTTGACTTTGGAGTCGCCAGTAACTAAGGCACCCGGCCAAGAAACGCACACTGGCTGCGGTCGTGGGGGGTGGAGGGGGGCTGTGTGTCTGCCCCTCCCAGAGGGAGGTGGTCCAGTGACGTAATTGCGACTTTAAGACCCCTTGCCTCCGCCCTCGCCCCTACTTTCGACTTGGGAATCTTTGCGGTCTCTCGCAGGTGAGTCTGGGGTAAGCGTGGAGATAAGCAAGCAGGGGATGTGGCAGGGTGCGTGCGGGCGTGTGCAGAGAGCTGGAGCTTCGATCCTAGCGGCAGCCACTTGGGTCCTCAAGTCCCTAGGTAGAAAGTGGTGCATTGAGCCCCGCGAGGCGATCGAGTCCCCGCGGCCCCGGAAAAGTTAAACGCCCCTCCCCCTCCCTGGGACAAAGGCACCGAAACCCGGGACGCCCCTCCTCCACCTGCTTGGCTTCTCTGGGGCGGGACTCCCCTCCCCCTCACCTGCAGGCCCGGACCCAGCTTCGGGCGCCGCCATTAAGCCCCTCCTGGTCGTACACTCCTAGACTTGATAGAGATAACCAACCAGCCCCGGAGCCTTACAGACGCCCTCGGACAAAGCTGAGGGAGTACTCGGTAAGTAGAGAGGGACGGAGATGAGAAGGGGCGAATGTCTCTCCAGATCTTGACTCGGGTCTTCAGCGTGAGACTGCAAGGGAGAGGAGTCGAAAGGGGACCTAAGGTGCAAGGTGCACACTTAGAACCCAGGGTAATGGGGATCCACAGCCGAGCGGAACTGATTCCCTCAGTGCCAACAATGTGAAGTGGGACGTGAAGGACACAGGTGCAGCCTGTCACAGAAAACACGGGGGTCTTGAATTTTAGCTCCTTAGGAAGCTGTGTCCAGAGAGGAAGGTAGCACGGCCTTTGGGCGCGCACCTTGACCCTTAGAGGTGGAGACTGGACTGAGAATCTGCTGGTAGCCTAGAAAAGTCTGCTTTTGGGTGAAAGGGTTTATTTTTCCTCCTCTCTCTTGCCCTCCAGGGCATGCTGAGCCTGGCCTGGAAGGGCCTCCAGCCACTCCCAGGGATTGGGAAGAGAAACCTGGAGTGTGTGGGGAGGGCTAGGCCTGGGATTTCAAGGAATTAGATCCACCTGAAATGGAGCCTGGCACGGAGCTGGGGGTTTCCATTTGAGCTTGGGTGGAAGGAGGGCGCTTGAGATCTCACCTGAGGGCGGAAGTGATAAGGTTGGACCTGGAACTTGTAGTTAGAGCCCATCGGTTCCAAAATTACACCCCTGACATCTCACCTGATCTCTTTGTGACACTCTGCTCACCTGATAAACTGTACCTGAGGATGCATCTCAGTTTGTAGAGGGCTTGCCTGACATGCACGAAGCCCTGAGTTCAGTCACCAGCACTGCGTTATCTGGGTGAGGCGTTACAGGTAAACACCTGTTACCCCAGCACTCAGGGGGTTGAAAGCAGGAGGGTCAGAAGTTCAAGGTCATCCTCAGCTAGCCTGTGCTACGTAAGACCCTGTCTCAAATAAAATAAATGTCCTGAGAAAGCAGCTGTCACTGGACTGGCCCATGCTTTTATCTTTGTCCTATTTCCTGTCACCTGCACAAAAAACAACAGGATTTTGTACTTTGCCTATCAAAGACTAGGGAAAAATTAAATTCTTGTTTTACTTTTGATTGGCCCAGGAAGTATATCTAACCCACACTGCAGGACAGAGTAGCCAACTGCCAAGGTACTTGGTGCTGGTATCACAGCTGGCAAGATACAGAACATCTGAGCCTGCCACACTTTTAACACTCCTATTTCCATCTTCCCACGCTACACAGCCCCTCAACCTCATCATGGCCTCTGCCGGTCTGCAAATCTTGGGGATCGTCCTGACCCTGCTTGGCTGGGTCAACGCCCTGGTGTCTTGTGCTCTACCCATGTGGAAGGTGACAGCCTTCATCGGCAACAGCATCGTTGTGGCCCAGATGGTGTGGGAAGGGCTGTGGATGTCCTGTGTGGTCCAGAGCACTGGTCAGATGCAGTGCAAGGTGTACGACTCACTGCTGGCGCTACCCCAGGACCTACAAGCCGCTAGAGCCCTCTGTGTCATCACCCTCCTCGTCGTCCTGCTTGGCCTGCTGGTCTACCTTGCGGGAGCCAAATGTACTACCTGTGTGGAAGACAAAAATTCCAAGTCTCGACTGGTGCTCATCTCTGGGATCACCTTTGTCATCTCCGGTGTCCTGACCCTTATTCCTGTCTCCTGGACTGCCCACTCCATCATCCAGGACTTCTATAACCCTTTGGTAGCTGATGCTCAAAAGCGGGAGCTGGGGGCCTCCCTCTATCTGGGCTGGGCAGCCTCGGGCCTTTTGCTGCTGGGCGGAGGGCTGTTGTGCTGTGCCTGCTCCTCTGGGGGGCCCCAGGGACCTGGCCATTACATGGCCCGTTATTCTACATCTGCCCCACATTCGGCCATTCGGGGACCCTCTGAATACCCCACCAAGAATTACGTCTGATGCTTGCTGGGGAGTGAGGCTCTACTGGCCAGGGAACCTTAGGACCCTGAGCTGAGCCATCGAGAAACAATGCCTAGGAGTTTTGGGTTGTTTTTCTTGTTTTTCTTTTGCAGTAGCGGATATTGAACCTGGGGCCCCACATGTTTTGGGGGGTAAGCACTCTACCAATGAGCTGTATGATACCCTGCCCCTAGGGTTGGCTCCATCTGTTTTTGAGACCAGCTCTCATTACAGAGCTCTAACCAGGCTCCAGTTTTCCTGCCTCAACCCGAGTCCAGACTCTGCCTACCTCTGCTGTTGGCATTTCGGTCGTGCATCAGGAGGGGTGACACTTTTAGTCTGTGTCTTTATTCACTCTGGGCATCTTCTGTGGAACCTGTTTTGAGACCACTTGTGAATCTGGCCTTTGTGAACCCCAAGACGGCCTGTTCCAAGGGTTCCCATTCCTGGAAGGGCAAGTGATAAGTTACCAAAGAATTTTCTACTCCAAGTCTTCCAACCTTTGGCCCCTACATCCCCTTACCAAAGTTAACATGCATTCTCCCCCAGATCAGGTCCCAGCTGTGCGGTAGACCCTCCACCCCCGTTTCTCTAACCTTGCACATTTCCCTGCCCACACATTTTACTAAATAAAACATGGTTTTTATAATGTGCCTTTGATGTCACTTGGTATTTGGTACAAGCGTAACTAGAGGGAGGTGGCAGTTCCACAATCAATTCCAAGCTTTTCTGGCCCAGACCCCATATTCTAAGCCAGTAAGCTTGCTGACTGGAACCTGGAGCACCCCGCACCCCCATGCCTTTCCACAGATCAGAGGAAGCGTAGTTACAATGTGCTTTTATTCCCAGCTCAGGTTGGGGAGTGGGTAGGGCACCAAGCAGCTTGGACTCAGGCCTTGGTTGGGCTGTTAGGTCACAGTGTGCATCTTATTTTGAAGGCAAGGAGGCTAAGGTCCAGATTCTTGGGGTAAGGCCGAGCTCAGCAGAGAAGAGACTAAGTCAGTTCAGGAGAGGAAAGCACAGCAATACCCTAGGAGTCAGGGAAGGGCCAGAGTACCCAGTAGCTTTGGCGCATTCACAAGGTTGCAACCACTGCAAAGGGCTGGCTCAAGACGGACCAGCTGAGATTCTCCTAGAGCCAAGTCTTAGCCAAAGAAGTGAGCGGCACATGAGGTTGATGAGAGATGCAAGGGCACAGCCCAGTGCCTGGGCATAAGTCTGCCCGTTCCAGCTTCTGGGGGAAGCCTCACACATAGTCTCTCTTATCCAGTCCTGAGGCACCCGAACGGGAGGGGATGGAGTAGCCCAGCCTGGGTCCACGGGGCCGCTCAAAATGGGACGGGGGACAAGTACAGCAGAGGAGCCCTCCACCCAGCATGAGCAGCGCAGCCGCTGCCCAGCCCAGGTAGAGGGAGGCCCCCAACTCTCTCTTGAGGGCTTCGGCCACCAGTGGGTTATAGAAATCCTGGATGATGGCATGAGCTGTCCAGCAGACAGGGATGAGCACCAGGATCCCCGAGAGGAGAAGGAGGACCCCTGCAGTGAGCACAATTCGGGCCTTGGCACCTTCGTCCTCCACGCATGTGGTGCACTGGGCACCTGTGATAGCCACCAGCAGGCCGAGCAAAGCCAGCAGGAGGGCAACGACACAGAGGGCTCTGGCAGCCTGCAGGTCCTGGGGTAGCGCCAGCAGGGAGTCGTACACTTTGCACTGCATCTGGCCAGTGCTCTGGACCACACAGGACATCCATAGCCCCTCCCACACCACCTGGGCCACAACGATGCTGTTGCCGATGAAGGCAGTCACCTTCCACAGTGGTAGGGCACAGGACACCAGGGTCCCTAACCAGCCTAGCACTGCCAGGGTCATGCCAAGGAGTTCAAGACCAGTGGAAGCCATCTGCTCCTCAAGTCTTCTCAGCTCTCAGCCTGAATCACGCACTCGACAGGGTTGGGGGCGCGGAGATCGAGTTCGGGGTGGGTCTCACTGCTCAGGAGGTGAATCTGTTGCTCTCAGGCCAGGACAGACCTCACATCGGCGGGCCTCGCACATCGGATACTCACTGAATACAAAGACGTCCTTAGGTCTTGTTCTGCAGGATCGCTTGTGGCCCCTCAGAGACCCTCCAAACCTGCCATGGACTTAGAACAGCTGCGGTCCTCTCTGCTGGCTGCTCCTGTCCTTTCTCGGTTGAAGTTCTCTCGGCTGGTACACTGCTTGTCTCAAAACAGAACTGTGAGGTGTCACCTGGGGCGTCTGAGGGCGCTGGTTGCAGGCGGGGTTTTAAGGCCTAGGTAGGGGAGGAGCCGTGCAAGGGACCTAGAAGCTACCATTGGGTAACAGAACCAGAGCAATGGTGAAAAGGGGGTGGAATGGGGGCCCTCAGGTTTAGGGTAGGGTGCCAAGACCAAGTGGAAACCTGGGAACAAAGGAATTCCGGGAAGACAGGACACACAGGAAAGGAACGAGAGGAGCCAATTTATTGGCTTGGAACAGAGAAATGGACCGATGAGTTCTCAGCCTGAGCCTGCTCCCTCTTTGCCACCTGTCTAATTCACTCTGTGGGGGAAAATATGCCCCCATTATCCATCATCGTACCCCTCTCCACCCCCACCCTTTCAGGACTCTCTGGAATCTGATCTGTCTCCAGTCTCAGTTCAATAACCCCGGGAGCTCCTCGGGGAGTGGCCCCGCCTACAGTTTCCCAGACAACAGGTGCCTGGCGCCCAGCTCAGGTGGCATTACCAAGGCAACGGCCTAGAAAACTACTCCCCCCCCCAATACACACACGCATACGATTCTGCCTCAGCTCAGGTGTTCCCACTCCACCCTCATTGCCGAAACTAGGGGGCTGAGCTGAGTGGCTGGAAGTCCCTAGTGGCCTGGTGATAAAGAGCCCGTTGTGGCGATGGGGAGGGGCAGAAAGGGGCCTGGGGCAGGAAGACAAGGCGGGGACTCTGGGATAGGGTGCTCTTTCTGATAGTTAGATGAATAGCCAGCCAAGCCCAGACACTACGGAGGTGGGCAAAGGGGTCAGGTCCCTGAGCCCTGACTTCCGGTCCCTTAGCGCCTCCATTCACAGAATGCTGCCTGATTTCAGCTCAAATTCTGATCCTACCGAGGTGATTAGGGAGGACTAAGAGTCTTAACCTCTTTGGACCAGAGACTGAGTTGAGAAAACTTAGAGTCTGCATTCCACGTGGGAACGCAATCCTGCCAATATGTGCATATGCCAAGGAGGTCATGGAAGTCATGAGCAATGCCCTCCTGGAGGCTAAGAACTTTTGGGGCCTTTTTCTTTTTCTTTTTTCATTTGGACAGAGCTATAGCCCTGACTGGCTGGGATCTCACTGAGATCTGCCTGCCTCTGCTTTCCGAGTCGTAAGATTGAGGTGTGTACCACCATGCTCAGCTTCTGAGGACTATTAGGTTTTTGGGTTGTTTTTTTTTCAAAATGTTTTTTTTTATTTTTTCCATGATATTTATTGAGCTCTACATTTTCTCTGCTCCCCTCCCTGCCTCTCCCTCCCCTTCTGTCCCCTCCAAGGTCCCCATGCTCCCAATTTACTCAGATCTTGTCTTTTTCTACTTCCCATGTAGATTAGATCTATCTAAGTCTCTCTCAGTGTCCACATTGTTGTCTAAGTTCTCTGGGATTGTGGTTTGTAGACTGGTTTTCTTTGCTTTATGTTTAAAAACCACCTATGAGTGAGTACATGTGATAATTGTCTTTCTGTGTCTGGGTTACCTCACTCAAAATAATGTTTTCTAGTGAAAGACCCCCAGTGTAGGGAGACTCTCACTCAAGTCTCGGGATAACATGACACCCCCCCACCACCAGTAACTCACAAGAGACCGTCTTTGCTGCAATCACATGAGGTTTAATCGACAAGATAGGAACCAGTGCACTGGGGCTGAGACGCATAACCCACACAGGGGAAGAGTTTGACATCAAGTAACTGGGAGAAGGGGTTTTTAAGGGAAGAAACCACAGCCTAATCCAAAGGGGTAGGGAGAGCATCATAAAAAAATTCCAAAAATACCAATGATAATCACAAGGGGGCAACTCCCTGTTTCTCAAGATTACAATCTAACTTTATCTTCAGCTAGTTCCTGAAACTGAATCGGCTAATCCTAGATTTCTGATTCTTCCTTCCCTGTTTAGATTTTTAGCTCTATTTTTTCCTGCTAGGGGAATCTGGATTTATCCAGGTCTTTCACTAGCTCCATCCCTTTTCCTGCAAAATTCAAGCTGCCGTTATTGCCGTTATTTTTTTCTGCTGTGTAGTACTCCATTGTGTAAATGTACCACTTTTTTTTTTTTATCCATTCTTCGATCGAGGGGCATTTAGGTTGTTTCCAGGTTCTGGCTATGACAAACAAAGCTGCTATGAACATAGTTGAGCATATGTCCTTGTGGCACGATTGAGCATCCTTTGGATATATACCCAAAAGTGGTATTACTGGGTCTTGAGGAAGGTTGTTTCCTAATTTTCTGAGAAATCACCACACTGACATCCAAAGGGGTTGTACCAGCTTGCATTCCCACCAGCAATGCAGGAGTGTTCCCTTTTTCCCCACAACCTCTCCAGCATAAGTTGTCATCAGTGTTTTTGATCTTAGCCGTTCTTACAGGTATAAGATGGAATCTCAGAGTTGTTTTGATTTGCATTTCTCTAATGACTAAGGATGCTGAACATTTCCTTAAGTGTCTTTCAGCCATTTTAGATTCCTCTGTTGAGAGTTCTCTGTTTAGGTCTGTACTCCATTTTTTATTGGATTATGTGATCTTTTGGTGTCCAGTTTCTTGAGTTCTTTGTATATTTTGGAGATCAGACCTCTGTCTGTTGTGTGGTTAGTGAAGATCTTTTCCCATTCTGTAGGCTGTCATTTTGTCTTGTTGACCGTGTCCTTTACAGAAGCTTTTCAGTTTCAGGAGGTCCCATTTATTAATTGTTTCTCTCAGTGTCTGTGCTGCTGGGGTTATATTTAGGAAGTGGTTCACTGTGCCAATGCGTTCAAGTGTATTTCCCACTTTCTCTTCTATAAGGTTCAGTGTGGCTGGCTTTATGTTGAGATCTTTGATCCATTTGGACTTGAGTTTTGTGCATGGTGATAGATATGGGTCTATTTTCATTCTTCTACATGTTGATATCCAATTACGCCAGCACCACTTGTTAAATATGCTTTCTTTTTTCCATTTGATATTTTTTGCTTCTTTATCAAAGATCAGGTGTTCAAAGATGTGTGAGTTAATATCCGGGTCTTCTATTCGGTTCCATTGGTCTTCCTGTCTGTTTTCATGCCAGTACCAGGCTGTTTTCAGTACTATAGTACTGTAGTAGAGTTTGAAGTCAGGGATTGTGATGTTTCCAGAAATTCTTTTATTGTACAGGATTATTTTGGCTATCCTTGGTTTTTTGTTTTTCCAAATGAAGTTGAGTACCGTTCTTTCGTGGTCTTTGAAGAATTTTGCTGGGATTTTGATGGGCATTGCATCGAATCTGTAGATTGCTTTTGGTAAAATTGCCATTTTTACTATATTAATTCTGCCTACCCAAGAGCATGGGAGGTCTTTCCACTTTCTGGTGTCCTCTTCTATTTCTTTCTTCAAAGATTTAAAGTTCTTGTCGTATAAGTCTTTCACTTGTTTGGTTAGAGTTACTCCGATATATTTTATGCTGTTTGTGGCTATTGTGAAGGGTGTTGATTCTCTGATTTCTTCCCCAGTCCTTTTATAATCTGTGTATAGGAGGACTACTGATTTTTTGAGTTAATCTTGTATCCTGCTACATTGCTGAAAGTGTTTATGAGTTGTAGGAGTTCCTTGGTAGAATTTTTGGGATCACTTATGTAAACTATCATATCATCAGCAAACAGTGAGAGTTTGACTTCTTCTTTCCAATTTGTATCCCCTTGATCTCCCTTTGATATCTTACTGCTCTAGCTAGGACCTCAAGAACTATATTGAATAGGTATGGAGAGAGTGGACAACCTTGTCTTGTTCCTGATTTCAGTGGAATCACTGGAAGTTTCTCTCCATTTAGTTTGATGTTGGCTGTTGGCTTGCTGTATATTGCCTTAATTATTTAACAAGTATTTTTAAAAAGCTCTTTTAGAAATTGATTTATGTATTTTATGTATATGAATGCTCTATTTGCAATGCTTGCATGACAGAAGAGGGCACCAGATCTCATTATAGATGATTGTCAGCCACCATGTGGTTGCTGGGAATCGAACTCAGGACTTCTGGAAGAGTAGTGCTCTTAACCCCTGAGTCATCTCTCCAGCCCCTCAACAAGCCTTTTTAATATCTGCAAGTCCCTTTAACACCTTCAAATCCTTTGTCCATCAGTCCCTACTGTCATACATCAGCCCTATTCAATATTTCCTGTGCTCCTCTTAGTCTAGGGTCTGGTTATTAAGAGTTGAGGGAGACCAGCAAGTGCATGTTCACTGCCAGAGGGTCACAGGTAAATGGGCACATGCCTGGATCAGGCAATTTCAGAGAGAAAGGGTTGAGGAGGAACTCAGGGAAATGAGGAGGAGGAGCTTGGGGAGGGGTCACTTAAAAAGGGACTGACATTTGCAGTGGTCCCTGCAAGACAAGGGAAGCCAATCAGAAAGAGGGTTGCAGTGGAACAGCAAGTGCAAGCCAGGAGCGATGGCACACGTCTGTGCACACGTCTGTAATCTCAGCATTTGGTCCTAAGATTAAGGTGTGTACCACTATTCTCAGCTTCTGAGGACTATTAGGATTTAAAGAAAGAAAGAAAGAAAGAAAGAAAGAAAGAAAGAAAGGAAGGAAGGAAGGAAGGAAGGAAGGAAGGAAGGAAGGAAGGAAGGAAGGAAGAAAGAGGAGAAAGAAAAAAAGAAAAAAAGGAGACTCCATCAGAGACCAGGCCAGCATTCTGAACTCCAGGTGTTTCGCCAGCATGTGTATCTGAACAACATGTGTTCCTGGTACCTGTAAAGGCCAGAAGAGAACATTAGATTCCCTATAACTAACATTACAGGTGGTTGTGAGCCACCATGTGGGTACTGGGAATCAAACCTGGAAAGAGTGGTCAGTGCTCTTAACCACTGAACAATCTCTCCGGCCACAGCCCAGAGGTGTTTCAAGCCAAGCAGTAGTGGGACGCGCCTTTAATCCCAGCACTCCTGTGGCAGAGGCATAGTCTTCAAGGCCAGCCTGGCCTAAGGAGCAAGTTCCAGGACAGCCAGGGCTGTACAAAGAAAGC